GCAGGGAGTCTGCTTCTCCCTCTGACCCTAACCCCTCTCACGTGCTCCCTCTCATTCTCTCTCTCAAATAAATAAATTAAAATCTTTAAAAAATAAAAAAATAGAAATGTATGTATGGTACACAGTAGATTTATGGTCATCTATCAAGGCAAAGCACATTCAAAATACTTGAACTATCTGTTGAAGATTGTCTCTGAAAGGCGGGAGTTTTTAAAATATATTTGGAGGGTGCCTGGGTGGCTCAGTCGGTTAAGCATCCGCCTTCAGCTCAGGTCATGATTCCGGGGTCCTGGGATCGAGTCCCGTAATTGGGCTCCCTGCTTAGCAGGACAGTCTGCTTCTCTCCCTCTGCCTCACCCCTTGCTTGTGCTCCCTCTCTCACTCTCCCTCTCTCTCAAATAAAATACTAAAAAATGTATACATATATATTTGGAATAATAGTTTTTAACATTGAAATCTTTGACTTTCATGCATGGTTTTAGACTGCATTATGTACAGAAGTAGTAGATTTGCTCATAATTTTCCTTTTCCTTCTTTTATTAATGGCTAAATAATCATTAAAAACTTGACATTTAGTGAAAAATGCAAGTTAATTATATTTTTACATTCTTTTAAAAACCAAATAGAGTGTGTGTGTACACACACACACTGTTCTGCACCTTACTGACCAGGACATATAGAGCTGTCTTTCTTTAGTTTTAATGGGTTCATGTATTTCATGTTCTTTACATATGATAATATTTTACCAGTCCACTGTTTATGGACATACATATTTCTCTCATTGTCATCACAACTGTTTTTCTATAATGCACACATCTCCTCTGGCTTAAAGGATGTGTGTTTTGTTGTTGTTGTTTTTATTGTTGCCAAATTACCCTCTGAGTATCAATTTAAACTCCCACCAGCAAAATGCCTGTTTCCGCAAACCCTTGCTGAAGTAGATGGGTGAAAATGGTTGTTTTATTATAGCTTGAGAAATGGCATAGTACAGACTGTAAGAGTAGATTTCCTGGCCTCTAATCCCATGTCTACCACTTCTTGTGTGATTCCAGACACGTTGCTTAACTTCTTCATTCCTGCTTTCTCATCTCTAAAATGAGGTTAATATTAGTATCTGCCTTACATGGTTTTGTGAGGATTAAATGAGTTAATATGTGTAAAGTTAGTATGTGTAAAGATCCTTGAACAGTACCTAGCACATAGCAAATGTTACAGTTTTTCAACAATAATTATTTTAAATTGCTTTCTCTTAATGAGATTGAGCAGCTTTTTATGTATAAGATATTTCCTTTTCTGTGAACTTAGTTCATACACTTTACCCATTTTTCTGTTAGGTTGTTGATCATTTTCTTAGGGATTTATAAGTCCCCTTTATATGGTAAGGAATTTAACCTTTTGTCATCTGAATTACAAATCTTTTTCCAATTTGTTGTTAATCATTTGACTTTTTTATAATGTTTTTTATGCCAAATTTTAAAATTTATATAGTCAGATTGATCAGCTTTTAAATGGACAGATTTTATGTTATGGTTAGAAAGGCTTTCCCCAGTCCAAATTTATAAAAAATAAAATAAAGCTCCCCTCCCATGTTTTCTTTTGTACTTCTAAGTTTTTTCATTTGAATTAATTTTTTTAACAATTAAAACAATTTTAATAATTAAATAATTAAACAATTAAATTAGTATAAGTCATGTTTCCTAAAGACCATTTAGCAAATTCCTAACTCTGGAAAAGTCTCAATCATTGATTGGCCTTTACATGTATATATATATATATTTACATTTTATTATTTTGTTTAAAGAGAGGGGGGAAAAAGGCTAGAGTGAGTTTGGCTTTTTTCCCCTGGAAGATAAGATGCTGAAAGCCATGGTCTTTGTATTATAGGATTTTTCTTATGTCTATAAGCCTGAAAATTGTCAAGTTCTGGTGGGATGTTCCATGTTTGCACCTCTAAAAAGTCTACCAAGCCAATGTCTGCCTCCTATCAAATTGCCAGAAGAGTGTATTTACCGTCAGAGTTGGACTGTTGGAAAATTGGAATTGCTTCCTTCAGGGCCTGCAGTGCCATTCATCAAAGAGGGGTATGATTTAGATTTATGTTATTGGTATAGTGTAGGTGTGCTTACATAGCTTTAATTTTTTTCACAGAAGTACCTGCTTTGCTAGTACTTAGAAAAAAGATACTGTTTTTTTAATTCTAAAAATTGTTTTTTGATCAATAAATTATAATGGTATTAGTTGCATGTTGATAAACTGTTGGAAAACTTAAGACCATTATGCTTTGGTTATTTGTCTTCATTTGCGGGTGGAGGTTTTCTTCAGAAGCACCTTCTTTTGTTTTGCTCTGAAATTCTAAATCCCATTTGTGTATTTGCCATATCACATACTTCTCATATTTTAATATCTCTGAAATTGGGATGTCTTATAATTGGTAGGATCTTACAATTGCCATTGTCCCTTATTGCATGTAAACATCTCTAAAATCAGGATTTTTTTTTTTTAACAGTGACAT